GTGTGCAATAACGTTACTGATTGAATGCAGCAATAAGGGATGCCACCCTCAGTTTTACTTCAGAAAGTGGAAACGCCTTCCGTGTAGGCGTCTATTTGGACACTAGGGCTTGACCCATTTCCCTTGAGGAAGAGGGAGAGAGAGAAAGGGGAAGGGGGGGGGGGGCTCTCTTTGTTGGGAGTCTCTTTGCACAGGGCGCCGAAATAGCTTGGGACGGCCCTGTGTGCAATCATGAGATACAGGTGGAAAACACCTCGATGTGATTCACATAGGGGGGGGAGTAGATGCATTAAGACCCGAGTTAGGGGGGCTTCAGCCTCCTCCAGCTTTTCATCCCTTGCTACGTCGCTGCCTGACTCAAGGGTGCCGTCTTCATAGCAAGATGGTAATCTGGTATCATACTCACGAACACGTTTAAAACAGATGGGAGTGTTCAACACCATGAGGAAAACCATGTCCATGACATGGATAGTTGACAAATACTTGCATGATGCGATTCAAATAGGATTTACTAGAAAAGTATGCAATGCATGCTATTCTAATGTCTCCCTCCTGATACGATCCAATTTCGCCTTTTCGAGGACCAGGCAGCTTTAGCTTTTTTTCATCTTGGTGATCGTTCTAGAGTTGAGACTTTTAGTACGCTGTAAAAGTCCTCTACGCGTCGTGGGTTGCCGATGTTTGGGGTATGTTGACCAATTCTTTACAATTCTGTGACCTTGGATTCCTGTAAACTCGGATAATCAAACGAAGAGTAGCTTTCCTACGAGTAAAAAAATTCACAGATGCCTTCGCAGACGATTCTTTCACCTCAATTGTCTTGTTTCCTTGGTTTTTATGGACACGATCCAGCGGGATTCTTCCTCTGAGTTGCACCGAAAAGGTCTTGGCTTTCTTGTATAAATTAGGATTAAAGGTTTCTTCGATCTTGCAATGATAGTTGCAAAGATCATGTTATAAATTCATATTTACTGTTCTCTGGTGGACAAGAAGAGAACCGTCCAGTTAATCGCTAGCTAAATGAACGAAATTCAAAATAGCCGAATGAACTTACCATTACCATTATTAGGGAGGATAAGGTTTTTTTTTTTTTGGGGGGGGGGGATTGAGACAGGAAGTGAAATGCTGAGAATTGCTGGAAATCTTGAGCGAAAGCGCAATCTCTTGAGTCTGTTAATCTATCGTATCGTGTCGCATGATTGCAGCTAAAATAAAATTGAGTAGCAGCATACATGCACAAATCACGTGATTTATTCATCGGTACCGGTTGATGGCAGCGGCACAAAAAGGAATCACCAACGGCTTTAATTTTGCAATCCCTCGGCTGCTCTCGGAATTCAGAGATCGTCTGCACAGCCCTGCTTGCAATCGAAGCCGAAGGAGGAATGGAGGAATGCTTCTTAGCACGGTCCTCTTCTTCTTCTCTCCCACGATAATAAGAGACGACCTTCCTTCAGCACGTTCCAGGAGTCTGCCTCCTGGATTCAAAACTCTTAGGAGCATTCCTGAATGCTGATCTCAGCTGCCGGAATGGATTCCTCGCTGATCTGATTCTAGCACTGGTTAGTTTGGAGTGGCAAAGCTGTTTTTCCCTTGACTTTGTTGAGTTGTATGGCATTCACGATGTCCATCTGTTGTCGCTGTAACTCTTTAGAAAGAGAATTGATGGCACCAAACAGCTTTTGCATTGCCATCAGTCAGGAGGAACAATGGGGGCAACTATCGCCCCCCCCCTTCCCCACAAATGCCGTTTCTGGATCTGACGTGTACAGTCCGACTTAGCATACTTTTCAGCCAATGGTCAGAGGTTGAGATTTCAAGCGGAAATCGGGAGCTGAGGTGGCAAATGGTCATCTTCCTGTCTTTCGCCTTCCATATCATCCTCATTTCTTAAAAGATCATGAGTTACTGGGTGGTTATAAGTATACTTCTTATTTCACTTCAATGCCTTCTAAGGATGGCCTTCTTGATTTAACGTTGTCGTGGCTCTTTAAACCGGATAGCTTATGGATATAAGTCACTTCACGAAGGACATTTCTATAAATAATTCAGACATGACAGTTGAGATCAGTCTCGATAAGAAATGACGTCATAACCCAGTGATTTTCATTCTGTGTGCAGACAGTGGCGGATATAGAAATTTTTCATAGGGGGGGCGGTAGTTGCCCCCATTGTTCCTCCTGACTGATGGCAATGCAAAAGCTGTTTGGTGCCATCAATTCTCTTTCTAAAGAGTTACAGCGACAACAGATGGACAACTCCTACCCTGGCCAGAGGGGGGGCGGTCGCCCCCCCCGCCCCCCCCCCTGTATCCGCCACTGTGTGCAGATCTAGAAACATGTCTCGTTCCTGAATCGGGGCCCACTCATGGGGTTACATGCACTAATAGAGGAATCGGATTAATTTAAAGGGTGACACGCACCAGATTCGTTTAACTTTAAACTGATTCGTTTTCATAATGGGCGTCTATGGGGATAAGTTTATCTCTGTTAAACTGATTCCCATAGGGTACCATTGTGAGATCAGATTAGTTTAGCTTAAACGGATTCGGTGCATGCCACCAAAGACGAGGTGAACACGTTTACTAAAACACGTTTAAGAATGTGTTTCCCTTTGACATGCGCCACTGAAAATCAGATTAGTTTCCATGAATACGTTTATTACAAACACGTTTAAAGGCGGTGCGGTAGTACTTGGGAAGAGAATGATTGTTATGTGTCAGCTGCCCGCACCAAGTCGGCGGTGGTGTCCGTGGAAAGACGAAACCTTGTCGAATTCGTCTCCATAGAACCATTCAAGAGGATTGAGCCGATCTCTGATAGTCCTCTTGGCAGTTTGGTTCAGAATCACGAGTCATAAACTTCTATCTCATTATTAGTTTCCATTTCCACCGTCGCTAGATAATGATAAGCAAGAAAAATGAGGCCCATTCGGGAAAAACAGCATGCTGTTTCTCCACCACCTCCGAGAATCCGTTTAGGGAGTTAAACCTACTATGGAATAAGTTTATGGGTGACATGCACCAGATTCGCTTAACTTTAAACTGATTCGTTTTCATAAAGAAGGTCTATGAGAATCTCTGTTAAACTAATTCCTAAATTCCTTTATCTGTTAAACTAATTCCTAAAGGGGACCATTGTGAGATTAGATTAGTTTAGCTCAAACGGATTCGGTGCATGTCACCCTATATTTGAAGTTTAGTTTAATAGAGAAATAAACTGATTTCATTTGGTGCATGTCACAAATCAGTTTAACCCTCTCCCGCATGAATTAAATGTGACTTTTCCTGTCATTTTAACCCATTTATTTCAGCAGAGTCAACTTTTGTGAATCCGACTTTAACTTTGTATCTTCAAAATTACTCCATGAAATTTTCTCTATATCCATCACTCGATAAATCAACAGCACAACTTTCACCCAAGTCACACTCTCGTTATTACTATAAAAAACTTCTTTATTGAGTTCTTCGCGTGTTGACCAATACTTTACAATTTCTCACTTCAGAGAGCAGCACTTGTACTCTGTTCCGTTACTAAAGCATAGAGGAAAGAATACTAAATGTGACGATGCCAAATAGTTACCGGTATGCCTCATAGATAAGAGTTATCATACTGTCTGAAAGTATGAGTACGCTCTACTACGCTACGTGGGAGAGAGGGTTAATGATGGGTTCAACTCATTCCTAAACATATTTGCTGGAATCAGATCAGTTTAGCTCCTAAACCGATGCGGTGCATGTCACCCAGTGTTTTCGCGATGAGTTCACACACCGTCGTAAAGTACTGGCGCTACTTGGTATTTCGACACTCGGGACGTTTATTGAATACCAGTTCACTCATAGGAGGTATCGTTAGTTTCTATAGAATCGGCAGAACTATGAAAAGTTATAGCATTAAAAGGGTGCATGAAGTCATCACGAAAGAACTGTCAAGATCTGCCATCTAGCGGATGATTCTGTAACTCTGATTCTTTGCTTGTAACGTCCGCTGTCGGTTTGAATTGAGCATGGCGGTCCACCGGGAACACGAGCCTCCTCGGTATGATTGTATCGTTGGCGGTTCTATGGCTGTGTTGGACTTGTAGGCCTGTGAAATATTCCCTCAGTGAGCATTAACCTGGTACTCCAGAGGCGTAAGGCTTGTGATAGTCCTTAGCCGTATGGTAAGGTACGCCTATACCATCCGTGGCCGGATGATATAGGCGTACCTATCGAGGCCCGACCATGGTCAGCTCGTATAGGATTACAGTTGCGTAGCCCAAGGATCTTAATGTGTTAGTAGCCAATCACAGGTTTACATTCGCACTTGGTTAGGCATGACCTTGGCAGCATTTTACATTAAGGACTTCGGCTAAATTTATCCTTTGAATAGGCCCTGTGAACGTGAGGACCGTCATAATTAGTAAAGTAACACACCATAGAAATGAATTATATTTTACAGTACATGCTTCCATGCTAGTCACTACCAGTGACTAGCATGGAAGGGACTAGTATTGGAACAAGTGCCTCTTCCCTTCTCTACTCTTCTAATAAAAGTCATTGATGTTTAGTGATGTTACTGCTACTGTTATTTAAATAATTTGCTAAATTGAAAATGCTGTTTGTCAGCTATTGAATGCCACTACTGGCCAGTCCTGCAAAGAAATTGTTATTACAATTGCTAGTAATTTAATTATTTACTTTTCTGAAGTAATGAGCCTAACGCTGGGTGTGGGCACCCCTAGAATTAGCCAGTTGCAATATATTTACCCTATTTAGTCAATCGTAGGTAAGATCCAAGGCTAGCTAGCTAAGGCCAAATTTCATAATTTTGGATTTTTCTTTTTCAGATTGGTGTTTCTCATAGTCCCAGCCAAAATGGGTTTTGATATCTAGCCTAAATTCTTAGTAATAGGCCTCCTACTCCATGACTGATAATTGGAAACAGGTTATTGGAAGAGGCAGAATAAGTTTTCATTTTTGAAATGCCTATTTCATCTAGGGTTGCAGATGCACTCTTGACATGGGTAAGTTTCTCTTATCTTGGTGAAATCCTAGCCATTCCAGCATGTCCAACCTTCCTATTCAATTTTATGCCTTTAGAACTCTTGTTCATCTGTGCAAAAAAGAGAATCTTGTGAGAAAGTAAGGAAAAACAAAAATAATGAAGATAAATGTAGAAATAAAAGTAGGACTGGGCGATATGGATTTTTAATGTATTGATATCACAGATCCATACATTGCTCAATATCGGGATATCATCAAGGTTCAACCTGGGTGGTGGTTAGTTAGAAGGTGGCTTTTAAAAAGCCTCAGTTGGGGACCGATTTTCCTTCCACCTCTTCTTGACAGGAGGAGTTACGAAGAATGAGTGATATTTTTAACAATGTGACTAGATTTGTTTTCACCACATTCAAATTAAGGATGCTTGCATGCTTGATGGTTGTATTCCCAGAATATAGAATTTCTTCCTTGCAAAGAAGGTATACAACTTTTTCAACATTCTGGATGAATATTGCATCCATTGCAAAAACAAAATCTAAACACATTCTGCACCTCAGACAATATGACAACAGATGTGTGAGGTATGAGCTTCCAATCAGACTTGTTAGTCTTTTCCATCCACAGTACAGTCTGAATTTTTGCACTGTACTCACCAATATTGACCTTGATTTGATCTTCTAAGGGGCTAACTGAATGCTAATTTATAACATTCATGCCAAGGTTGACAGTCAATCCCTTCATGGCCCTAAGTCATAATTGCTTTGAAATAAAAACAAATAGTGCAGTTTGTGTACTCTATTTCTCCAGCAAAAACAGAGGGGTAAAAATATTCTTTTAAAAAATTTTAAATATCACAATATGCAGACACATTGCTTATAAGACATGTATAGTACAATATCATAATGTGGTATTCGACACAGTCCTAAGTAAATGTGAACAACTGCACAATATATAAGTTTTCAAATAACTAGACTTTTTGGTAATATCTGACTTCTGTTTATGGACTAGCAGTAGACCTACTAGTCTTCATTATAATGCAGAAGAATAGCTACTCTGAAATAAAAACTTTCCAAACTGCTTTATTCTTTACAGGTGAATTCCCTATGTGGTCCTGGACTGCCATCACTTGAAATACTAGGAGATCTCAAGTCTGGTGCTCATTTCAGTGTCCTTCACTATCTATGGTAAGAAAACCCTACTAGTAGGATACATAGTAGGATACAAAAATCTACACTTTTTTTTAATTTTAAAGAGCATATAATGGGCACATAGGAAAATAAATGTTCTTCAGCTATGGTACAATGAGAGGGGTTGCCTTGTTGGGATGGGCACCACAACTGATATTGCAATCTATCATACAGGAAAGTTCCACCACAGTCCTATAGTAGGTGTTAGGTGTAGTTTATGGGTTATTTGGGCCCTTGATTAAGATGGATGATGTGATTATTCTGGCATACCACATTAGCATCTTCTAGAAAAGTAGGAGGGTTGTATGTAAGGAGAGGTGAGCCTGCCACCACCCCCTCTATCACAACAGACTCGAGCAGTATTGATGGAATTAATTAGAGTATATCCCACCGAATATGAACCTTCTTCAATTGCAGTCCATCACTACCCTATCAAGGAGCTAACAGCGTCAGAATATGGCCATGGCTGCATTTGTTTCTTTTATTGTCTCCCTCTGTCTGATTCCTATGAAAAAAGTTAGTATTCAATGGAAAAGGAAGATTTTCATTCTTGAGAGGCATGGAGATTGGTGTCCTCTCTAGCATCTGCATGGGTTCTCCTTTATTGATCTGTTATATGTGACAGGATGCCTACCATTACATTGTGTATTACCTCTGCTGCTGGAAATAAATGGAGAAAGGAGAATTTTCAATCAACATGAATACTGGCTTGAGCTACATCCTTGTCATTGATGTTTCAGATAACAACCTCTCCAAGGCATGACAATAATTATCTCAGGTATTGAAATTGTAAAGTGAAATTGTGGTACTCTCTTGTGTCTTTATTTGCATCTTTTACTCCCCTTCTCTCTTGCTGCTAGGTTCACATTATATTATTGAACACATTAATGGTACATTTCATCATTAAAAGACTTTTTGCATAATAGAAATGTATTCCAATGCAGCAATCTTTATTCCAATACTTCAGTGGGCTGAATTTCAGTCTGACAACATTTCCAAGCCTCAGCTTGCTTTTTTTCTGCATAGAACAGAAATATGCAAAAAATATGCAAAATTTCTCCCTTGGGTAGTCTTACTTTCGTTGCAGACCAGTCAATTGTCAGGAACTGATACATAGTTTCACTATGGAAAACAGTCCCAGTGAACTGTATCCCTGAAGAACTTGCCATTCAAAACACTCAGGTGGTTAAGACTGAATGAAGTCTGCAGCATGTCACTGATGATAATGGCCTGTAAGGAATACAAAAACATAGCCTGCTACATATGTGTATCTTTTAAGTTGACTTGATTAAGCTGGTCAAATGTTCAAAAGGACACTCCACAATTTTGCCTTTCTGTGTCATCAAAGCTGAACGTGGTCATTAACCCCTTCGTTTCCAATGATGACCAAGCGCTATCATCATGGTGAATATCAATTTCAGCGTATAATTTTCCTGTTGTCATGCTTAAGGCAGGTTAAACATTTAATGATGGATGGATTGATTGTTCATTTTCGGTTGCTTTTGTTCCATTTCATTCAGTGATACAGAGTATGGTGATCTGATTTCACCAACTGCTGGTTTGCAGTCAGAACTATGCACAGCTGTGAAACAATTGCAGGGTGAGTTCTCATCCTTGACTTGAGTAAGGAGTAAAATAAACAGTCACTAAAATGAATATCAATAATTAAATGATAATGAAAATGTATTAAGAGTCAGATAATGCAATTTTTGAGTACCAGTTATTGAAATCAATTATGTAATTTGGATTTAGCTGTATGAATTAGGTATGTTACTATATCAGATTTTTCTCCTCTATAAGCTAATATTCCACAAATGTAAACAACTCTATTGAATATTGCTAATTTTCAATTATGGAATTATTTTCTCAGGCCATTTGCAGCATCCAGACATACTATGAATCTTTGTACAGATTAATGATCTTAATGAGTGAATATGCAATTTTAAACATTTCCTGATGAAGTTCTCAGCTTCAAAGGTTGTTCAAATTTTATTCTTTAGTCAAAAATAAGGGGGAATTCTTGCCCTTCTATAAAAATAAAGATATTGCATTTTTTTCTCTTTTGTCAGATTATCTGCACTCATAATTGAATCTCCTCTTCCACTCATGGATTTCTAATCTTATGGAAAAAGAAAGTAAACAAATAAAGAAGTATAAGCTGCTGCACATTGCTGCAATTACTGCAAATTGCACAATGAAAAGAAAGAACAGACTGATAAGAGCCAAGCTGGGAAAGCTGGTAAAATGACACTAGTCAGCACTCAGGGTAAACCTAAAAAGGAACTGATGAACAATAAAACTTGAAAGACAAGCTCCATTAGCTAGCAACAGTTCCAAAGAAAGCTACAAAGGTGAAAAAGTAAAGAGATAAATAAAAATGCAAAACTGGACAATAAAGTGAGAAGGATGAGAGATAGAACAACATGCTTTCAGGCAATGCCCTTCTTCAGGAGAATAACATGGAGAGTAAAAAAAAAGAGGGGATAAGGAAATCATCAAAGGCAGAGATGTTCATCAATGGATGTATGAAACAGGTTTTTCTGAAATGTTAGCACCATCAGAGAAAACAAGCATTAAGGCTAAATGTGAAAACTTCAGAAAACCCTGTTTCATATATCATTAACACTTTAGATCTGATGAACATAAATTTATGTCCAGTCCTTACTACCAATTATGGACGTGATAGTATGTCCTTTGAAAATTTTTCAAAAATTGAAATATTTTACATTTCAATTTATAATAAAGAGCAAGTCTATAATTTTGCATTCAAAGTTATGAATTTTTTTTATAGACCTAAAAACAACTGCCATACCCTGGTTAATGGACATCTGCCTCTGACAATGACTTCCTTTTCCCCTCTTTATTTCCTCTCCCTGTTATTATCCTTTTGAAGAAGTGCATTGCCTGAAAGCTTGTTGTTTTATTCCTCTTACATCTCATATACATTCCAGTTTGATGTGTTTTACCCTATTTTGCCTCTCTCTGGAACTATTGTGAGTGAGTGGAGCTTATTAAACACTAATCAACCTTTTAGTTAATGTAAAGACTCTCCTGGCTGTCTGGAGAATTTTTAGATCTATGCCTTGTTTTCAGTACATGTATGTAGAGTATCTAGAGAGAGTTGTGTGTAGAGAATATAGAGAGTTGTGTAACATGAAAATATTGGAATATGTGAAGCCATGATGGTAAAAAAAATTTATCCCAAAATGCATGCAAATATTTATTGAATTAGGTCTAAAGTTAACTTGTGGAGATCCTTTGTAATTTCTTTACACAGTCCTTGAAAATAGCATCTTTACTGAGTTTTGTTCATATTCCAGGTAAATACTGCAAATTGAGCTTTACTCTTGAGGAGATAAGGGCTGGAAATGAAGAGGAGATTGCCTATCTATGCCTTGTCCTCCTCCACTGTATGTACATCTCAAAAAGGGTTCCATCACTAATGAAGACAGCCCTTTCACTCCCTGAAGATGTTCAAGAAATCTTATATTGCTTACTCAATGGCTTGCTGAAGGAAAGCTCTGCCATAAATCGAGAAGACCTTCAAAATGCACTTGATCGCCTTGGTGAGAGGAAACATTTTGAAACATGGATATAGGTGATAGTGTATACAATATTGATTTCACCAAAACAGATATGACTTCTATATATACTAATAGGTGATTAACTTGTCCAGGTAAATTGACTCTTACAGCATTTAGTAAGTAATGGGTGTAAACTCTGCTATGAGATTCTCTCTCAAGGAGACAATTACATGAAATTCCCTCACATCTGTAATTTATTTCCCTTCTGTTATTAACAACACTAGACAATGGCAATCGGGATTGCCAAAGCCAACCAGGCAGCTTTTGTACACCTGTTCAAGGAAATGAGGAAGTTTTCAGCTCTACTCCAAGAATGAAGCCTTTTCATCAGTTCTTTCAGGTGAGTACATTAGAATACCATCTTGATAGTTTTGCAGCACTTTTTGATTATTTTGATTTAGCTGTGTATTGTTTATTTTATATTGTAAATGTCATGAGAATAAAATCTCTGTGAAAAAGGGTTATTTGGTATTCATAGTCATTTCAGATCTTGTTGCAATGAGATATTTTTTCTATCCTTAAGTCCCCAATTGTAAGAGAGAAGCAGATGCTTGAGGAAAAAGCAAGAAAAATGAAAGTCTTGGAGAACCAGCTGGAAGCAGAAAAGATGGAGAAAGAAGACCTGAATGAAGAATTCCAAAAGATAATGGCAGAAAGTAGAACTAAAGGTAAGCTGTGTCAGTTTACTTTTTATTGCAGAATACAGATTTTTATGCATTAATTACTATTTATTGGGGTTTATTGAATTAAATCAGGAAAGGTTGTACTGGGGCCAATTGTTTTCCATCTGTAATATCTAATGGCAAAGCTAATTTTAAAAACATGAAAAGAATCAAAACAGGAAACTTGATAAATGAAGCATAGCAGTGTTACTATTATTGGTAAGTCAACCTGTTGATGTATCAAAATTATATGCATGAAGGATGATGAGTTGCACCACCCTCTTTCCCTCTTTCTTCTCGTTCTTTTTTCCCTCTCTTGGTGCTACACTGCCAGTTCAGCTTTTTTTTTATTCTAATTTTTTTATTTATTCTAATTTTGGCACTACTTGCAGGAACCCACTTAGACAATACATTTTTCAATTCTTGCTGATGTAAGGAAACAATGTCTTCTCTTAGAAAGTTGTGGGAATGCCATTCCAATGTTGAAAAAGGACAGGAATGCTCTTCTCATTTTCTTCTGAGTACTATGGAGATGTGTTTTTGAGGCAGTTCATATGTGGGATTGCTGACTTGTAAATACATTGTGTTCTGCACTTATTAAATCCCATATTCTGTGTGAACTAAACTTTGATCCACACATATCCCTCTTAAGAATGTTCAGTATGTTTTATTTCTTTATTTTGAACAGATGAAAGAATCTCCCGTTTGGAGGTTCAAGCTCTCAAGTTGCAGCGTATACAGGAAGAAATGGAACAGAAACTAAAGGAAGTAAACAATGGAACATGTCAAGGGAGTCAGGAAGAGATCATCCACCTGAGGAGCCAAGCCCATGGGCTAAAAATAGATTTAAATTTTTACAAGGAAGAGTTCAAGACCGTGAGTGATGAAAGGAATCAGTATCTGGAGAAGGTAATCTTTTGTCTTGCATATCTCTTGTTCCAGGTGATCTTAGTTTACCCTTGACTCTGATTCTAAGTCATGATTGCATAATTAATTGTTCTACAGGTCAAGGTATTGGAAACTTCCCTGAAAAAGCTAAAGGAAGAATTATCAGGAAGAGTGGAGTTAGAAGTGGAGAATGAAGAGCTTAAACTGAAAGTTGAAGCCCTGGTAGATTCCCACAAGGCCTTGGAAATCCGTTGTGAGGAACTCACCTCTTTCATAGAACAGATGCGAGGAGCAGGGAGGAGTCTGGAAGTATCTTATGACGGAACTCCAAATACTTGTAAGTTGAAAGTGCTGTATCCTACATTGCTTTAGCCTATGGTATGATATGCTACCCTTAGAAATTTCAAACAGGGTGTTACCAATGCATTGGCAACCACAGTATTGACTGTTGATATGACATCATCTGTACCATTGGCTGGTTTTCACAATGCCAGTGCTGATGGCAATCCCCCCCTTCCTTCTTCCCTTGCTGAAAAGGAAAGAGGAAGATGCAAGCGAGGAAATGCTTTGCAGGGCTGAACTTTCTCGTTGCTTACCCACAAAACAGTTATTTCTGGCCACGCACAAAAAAGGCAAAACTCTACATGGTTTGATGAAATCTCATTGATGCTTCAATCTAATTATGGAATCAGGTTTCAAGTATGGCACTGGACTGGTATAGCAAATGAGTCCAAAGGGAGGTTCTAAATTTCATTAACACTAGAACTACTGGAGCAATAATTTTGATTGCTTGCTGATTTCTAACCCTTTGCAGTCCATTTTATTTGTTAGACTATGAGGATTGTTGAACTATGTCTGACAGTGGACTGCAAAGGGTTATTGCACTTTACTCAGCTTATTTGGCAACTAAGATTTGCGGTTTTTACTATCTAATGTCGGCATTTTGAACATACCAAATAACCTCTGGAAAAAGCAAATAAGATGTTACAGAAGAATAGTTTTATACTACTTTTAATACTGCTGTCAAATTGACCACTCTGGTAGTTCTAGTGTTAACCCTTTACCTGGCTGAGAACAACATAAACTCTACCCTGACCTGACACTTGAATTAATTTCAGAATTTCATTCATTGAAGGGCTGTAAGGAATAGTGGTCTATTTGCAAAAAACTGTATCATCAAGCTACACATGAAAATAAGGAGCATTTCAATGTCTGTCACCTTGAGATGAGGAAAAGTGATGCATAGATAGACCAGTTTTTTGCTTGCCTTAATCCCAAACACTACCATGTTTAATAAAAGGAAATGGGTCTATATGCATGAAACCAACTATACTTTTCTCATACTTTTTTTTTGCAGATAGACCATTTTTCCTTTCACCCCTTCAATTAACAAGCATATTAATGAGAGGCTAGTTAAAGCTACTAAAAGCAGGTAAAAAAAAAATAACCCCATTTTTTGGTCTGCTAAGAACCAAGGTTTAGACCTTGCATGACAAGTTATCTTTGACTAAGGAATGACCAACTGTGACCTTTATGACATGTTATTTTTTAGTTATTAGTTATTTCAATAACTAATAACTTAAAAACTCAGTACAGTATACAGTGTTTCAATCCCTTGATTGAAATTTTGATTCAAATCAGGCTATCCTGATTTCAATGATAGATTTATGATTACAACTTTATTTTATATTCTTCACATTAATCTTATCAAATTAGCAGCCCTTCTTATAACTGTTGGCTTAAAACAGTCATGGAAAATTGTTGAGGGTGGCAAACATCCTCCAGATTCATTTCATCTTCCCTCACTCTGCTCCAGGTTAATTTCAGTGGCCATACTCTACCTTATTCTGTGAGTTTTGATTATTCCAAATTCAGTTTCCAACAAATTGCAAAAAATTAAGCTGTGAGCTTTCATTTCATGTAAGAGGACTCCATGTGAGGTATAAGGCACCTTAAATTCTAATCCTATTCAAGTTAATTCCACTAGTAGGATCTATGGATAATGCCAAAATTAATTTTTTACCTCAATTCGCTAGAATGGAGGACCAATTTCTGGCTAGCTCCATCCAGATAAATTTATAAAAATAAATTGTTTTATGTTATCTTTTCAGCTGCCTGCTTACCTCCAGAAACACTGGAATGTGTTATTGATAAACTTCTGCAAGAGAAAACACAAGAGTTAGAAGAACTTCAACAGTGCTATGAGAAGTTGAAAGGCCAAAGGGCCAGTGAATGTGAAGAATGGGCCAAAACTAAATCTAGCTGGGAAGCAAAAGTTGCAAATGTCACAGAAGAAAAGAACAGGACTGTCTTGAAACTACAAGCTGTGGAAGAAAACTTGAATGTCCAAGAGACCAAGTGCTGGCAGATGCAGAAGGACATGCAAAGCTTACAGCATAAACTTCATTCTCTTCAAGAGGAGTTTGGCACAATGAAGGAGGAAAATGCAAAGCTAGGAGAAGAAAAGGAAAAGCAGAGCATGGAAGTGACACATCTGCACTCATGTTTAAACAACATTACGAGTGAACGGGATCATCTCCAGTCAGTCCTTAATGAGAAGTGTGAACAGGAGAAACTGGTAAAGGACAAGATAGATTCACTTGACAACAAAATCCTGGAATTGCAGGACATCGTATGCTATAAAGATGAGTTACTGGAATCAACAGAGAGGAAGTACAAGGAGCAGGTTTTCAGATTTGAAGGAAAACTCAAGGAGAAGGAGAGTCAGTTACTTGAGGGAGAGAAGAAGTTTCAAGAAATGGAGAAGAATCTCCAGCACTCAATGAGCATTCACAAGGAACTAAAGTCCACAATTATCCAATTGGAAGATATGAAGTCCCATCATATGGCAGTCATGAAGGGCCTTCAAGAAAACCTTGAGGGATGTATACATCAAATGGATGCATTGCAGCAGGAGAAAAAGGAGAAAGAAGTTGCAGTTGCTGAAAAAATTCAAATTATTCAGAACCTAGAAATAGAGGTGAAGGCAATGGAAGTCAAATTCATGAAGTTGGAGGAAGTTCAAGATCAACTGCAGTCTGAGAAGTTGAAGGTGGAGGAACTTAATAAACAGCAGTGTATTGCACTAGAAAATCTTCAAAAAGAACTGCATGATGAAATGCATCAAATGCAGGAATTAAAAAGTGTTCTCAGTGAAAAGGAAGCCATCATCACTTTGAAGACTGAAGAGGTCTCTGGAGTCACATCACAGCTTCATCAAAAAGAGATTAAATGCCAAGAGTATGAAGAATGCCAAAAGGATCTTCAGTCACAAATTATGGGGCTTCAAGAATCTGAGAGTAAGCTGAGCATGGCAGTTGCTAAATTGGAGCAGAACTTTGCTGAAAGTCTGAGAGAGAAAGAAATATGTCAGAGAGAGTTGGAAAAGAATGAAGTTGTGATTAATAAACAAATTGAACAGATCCATTTAGCTGAGAAGCAAATACAAATAACAGAAGAGGAATGTCTTAGGCTAGCAAAAATACAGGAAGAACTTGAGGTGCAACTCAGGAAGCTGGTAGAAAAACACAAAAGTCAAGGTCTTGTCTTGGTTGATGCTCAAAATAATCTTCAAGAACATATCCTTAAGGTGGAACAGTTGACCCAAGAACTGGAGCAGAAGAATGTTGTAATTCAAGAGAAGTTAACTGAGGTCACTGACTTGCAAGAGTCTGTTCATAGAATGAGGTCAACACTTGAGGAGACAGAAAGCATCCATAAAAAAGAAAATGACTGTGTGCAAAAAGAGATTGAGGAGAGGTCCTTTTTGAATTTGAAACTGGAGCAACAATTGGAAGAAACGAAAAATGTCATCTGTCAGAAGAATGAGCAAATTTCAATTTTAGAACAGAACCTCCTGTTGAAAGATCAAGAACTTCATGTGCTCCAAGAGGAAATAAAGGACAGCAACCAGAAATTGAAAGATCTACAGCAACAGATACAGGAGAAAGAAACCCTCATCACTCACACATATGAGGAGATTTGTGATAGTCAAACAATGTTGCAAGGAGCAAGGGATGCAGTTGGTAAGCTTGAGGCAGAGAAGTCTGCATTGGAGGAAGCCAGAAAGGAACAGGACGAAGATAAGAACATCATGAAAGACCAGTTACAGGAGAATTTGAATGAAATCCTGGCATTGAAGCAGCAGGTTGAGGAGAAAGAGCATATTATCAACCAGAAGAATGATGAAATTCACCAGACTGAGGAGGAGCTTCATGAGATCAAATCACAAATGGAGCAACTCAAAACTCAATACCAAACTCTTGAAAAAGAAATTAATTGCAGAGATACCCAAGTGCAGCTCTGGGAGCAACAACTTGAAGAAAAGCAAAATTTCATCAGTCAGAAGGATGAGAAGATCTCTGCCCTAGAACAGGACCTTCTGTTGAAAGATCAAGAATTCCATGTGCTCCAGGAGAAAGTGGATGACAGCAACCAGCAGTTGAAAGATCTATGCCAGCAGATGCAAGAAAAGGAAACCATCATCAGTCAAAAGCATGAGGAGATTTGTGCCAGTCAAGTAAAGCTGCAAGAAGCTAAGGATGCAGTTGTTAAGCTTGAGGCAGAGAAGTCTGTATTGGAAAAAGCCAGAAAGAGACAGGATGATGACCTTATCACTGTGGAAGACCAATTGCATGAGCATTTGAATCAATTGCAGACATTTGAACTGCGAGTTGAGGAGAAAGAGAATATCATCAACCAGAAGAATGATGAAATTCACCAGACTGAGGAGGAGCTTCATGAGATCAAATCACAAATGGAGCAACTCAAAACTCAATACCAAACTCTTGAAAAAGAAATTAATTGCAGAGATGCCAAAGTGCAACTCCTGAAACAACAGTTGCATGAGAAGGAGAATCTTGCAAATCAGAAAAATGATGAAGTATGTGTCATGACAGAGAAACTCTGCACTGCTGAGTCTGCATTGAATGAAATAAGAAATAAGTATGATGCTGTTAATAAGCAGCTGCAGTCTAACATTACTCAGTTGAAGGAATTGAAACAACAAACTGAAGAAAAAGGTGCCCTCACAGTTAAGAAGATTGAGGATTTCACATCTCTCCAAGATGAAGTGTGTGCTCTTCGAGTCATAAAAGCAGAGAGTGACTCTCAACTGAAAGAAATGAATGGGTACTTGAGCAATATGATGCAGATCCTGTGCGCAGAGCTGCCAGATATTGTACAAGGAATGCCAGAAACTGAAGTTGAGAGCATTGAACAGTTTGCAGCCAGTAAAGAACTAGAAGTCACCTCAGCCATGCACAAACTGCAAACAATCCTGGCCAAGATTATCAGTGAATTCCATGCAAAAATTAAAACCATGGGAGATGTGCAGACAACCCTGACAGAGGAAAAAGCCACAATCCAGGAAAAGTTGAATGACTTGGAGAAGGAAAAACGTTTGTATGAGGAAGCTGTTGTTTTATCTTACCAAAAGCTCACAAGCATGATGCATAATTTGGTGTCAGCAGGACGGGACAGCCTTGGAGCAGCCCTCGAAGAGAGTACTAGTGTGAAGGATTCTTTTGCATCGTTTGAAGCTTCTCTCCAAGAACTCGTGTCTACTCTCTATGACATGGGAGCATCTTTGCTTTCCTGTAACAAGTCTCTTCTCAACTCCTCAGAGGAGAATTTCCAGAAATTAGCATCAGCCCTGTCTCAGATGCAGTCTCAGTATCAATCAGCTCATGAAGAGATTGACCTCCTGAAGAATGAGTTGGCAGAGTCTAGAAGGCAACTAGATCTAGCTAGAGAAGAGGTCTGTAATCTCCGGAACACCCTCGAAGCTGATCGTAATGCTTATGAAGAAGAGAGAGAAGAATTGGTCAACATGAACTATGAGTTGAAACAGAAACTCCAAGGGGAGAAGGATGACTTTGAAAACCTGTGTAACAACTTGGAAGTTGAAAACAGCAACCTGAATGAGCAAGTCAAGGACTTGGAGACCTCTCAGGCCGAGCTTCTATCAGAATTTGAGAAATCAACAGTAGAATTATCCAAACTTCAGGAATTGCAAGAAAAGGTGTCATCCCTTGAAGCAGAAAATATCATGATGTCAGAAAAACTCAAAGAACTTGAAGCTTCTAAGAAAAATGAGGATGTAAAGGAAGATGAGTTGAAGGCCAAAGTGTCCACCCTGGAGAAGGAAGTCAAGAAACTGGTCAAGACTGGAGACAGCCTAAAACATGATTGTGAGACCCTGAGAGCAGAACTCTCTGAGAAGGAGACACAGTTGGAAAATACCCACAGCAATGCAATGAAGTACCAGGTATGTTGATTGGCATTTGCTTTATTGTTCTGTACCATGGATACACATTAGAATTTGCTTTGTCCTTGTTTAAGAAAAGGAGATATGATTTCTGCTTGTGCATTATCACAGGAGAGGATGGAGCAACTGCAAGTGGATTTAGAGCGTTTTAAGAGGCAAAAAGTACATACTGACTCTGACATTGTTGACCTGGAGAGAAAAAAGATTGAACTAGAAATGAAAATTATGGACCTGGAGAATAAACACCTTGAGAAACTCTACCAGGCAAAGAATGAAATGGTGAGTGAAATCCTTGGTCTGTTGGAAGAGCTTCAGATGAACATTATGCACTCCTCTGGTCATTGAACCTTGAGCAATTTGTTATCCTGCAGCAGCAAGCCTAGAAAAAGTATGGAAGTATCATAACATTCAAAAGACAAATCTAATTTTCTTACAGAATCAGCTGAGTAATGAAAGTAGAAATAATGGTTAAATTATTGAGGGATGATAAATGCTTGTTGGCTCCATACAGAATGACAGCAGAGAAACTTCAACCTTAAAAAACAGCAAATGGTGGAAGATGATGACTCCAAAGCATCATAAATCTGTTACACTGAATTGCAGCAATGAAGAACTCCTGTATGCATTCCCTCTCCTTTTCCCTCCCTCCTTTTCTCCAATCCTATCCTCTCCTTACAGATAGGATGTTCATTAGAGTTCATTATGGGGTGTTTTTAGCTTGGAGGAGTGCATATCTTCATACACTTTAATCTCTGTCTTCTTCTGTAATGCAGTTTTCTTTTTTTCCAACATTTTGAAATATCCCAGAAATCCATCTTCAAGTCAGAGGTTGAGAAAGTGTCTGCCATGTGTGAGGAGGTGAAGAGAGAAAAGGATCAGCTGTCAGCTAAATATGAAGCATCCAAGAAGAAACTGGCTGAGCTGAGCAGACACCTGCAGCAACAGGAGTCAAAATATGAAGAATTTCTCAATGAGGTAGTTATCTGTGCTGTCTAGCCACTGTTTCAAATAAGCCTAAATGACATATTGCATGGGACTTTTTTTCTATCCTAAATAGCGGCAGAAAATTGGTGAAGCATATGAGGCCAAGAGATCAATGCTACAGGAAGCCAAAAATACGTTGGATAGGGAGAAGACATGTAGAAAAAAAGCTGAAGTCAAGGTGGAGCTTCTTGAAAAGGAGCAAGTTCCTCTCCTGGTGTGACTTCACTTACATATACTTTTCTTTTATTGTGGGTAAACATGCCCCCTTAGTTGAATGTCTATTATTATCATATTGTCCTCATTCTCTAGGAGAAGATAAGGGGACTAGAAATTTCACTGAAAAGAGAAGTGGCAGCAAGAAGGAGTGCAGAAGTCCAAACTAAATATGCAGAGGATCAGCTTCGAAAGTTGCAAAAACAGCTTGATGGCCAGGTATGATTTCTCCAACTGGCTTTTCTTAAATTATTATTCTTTCCAATGTAAAAATAAGAATCATGCCAAGCACTGGATTGAATTGATAATTTACAGCCACCAATTCGCAAAACCCAAAGTGAGACCAATTCTGGAAGAGGCGTGAGAAGGAGAGCTGAATCCATCAACAGTCCACCCACAGAAAATATTTATGAGACTATTCAAGAATGTGAAGGGCAATACCAATCTTCAAGAAGCCTACATTTCACAAGAGGTGCAAGTGTATCTGCTGAATATGTCAATCTTGGGTAAGTATGTACTGGTGCAGCAAAGTGATTGTAGTTAATGCTTCATTTTGTGGCGTTTTTGGTGTTCATATATTCTTCTGTCCTTGAAGTTCCAGAAACAGGGCAAATCAAGAAGTCTTCAAAGTCCCAAGAGCTCCTGCAGGCTCTACAACTTCACTAGCATCCTCATCCTCATCCTCCTCCTCCTTCCATCATCGTTCTGTGCCTCTTGGCACTGGTAAGTTATACTGGCTATCTGTGGCACTTCTAACCTTTTAGTCCTAAAGTTGGCTATCAACAGTTATCCCAGTATGGATCAAATGGTCCTCATCTTGTCAAGAATGGAAACAACACAGGTCTTGCAATTGAGTTGAAGCCTAGAAATGCTAGGGTAGTTGATTTTGACAATTCTTTGCTCTCCCCATGCAATGGGCCCTCAGCTTATCTTGCAAGTGGCTCTCTTTACTCTCGTGTGCTTTCTTGGGAGAGCCTTGGCTTGCCTCATTTCCCCAACGACCCAACAAATGGTCACTGAATTTTTTTTTAGCACTGTAGATGGAAAGCCTCTGTCAATGATAGCTCCAAAACTTGAAAGGTCTCTCCATTGTCCTACCAAGAGAAATGATATTAGGCACGAAAGGGTAGGGGGAAATGGTATTGGAAAGTACAGTGAAAACTCGTTAACTCGAATCCTGATAAGTCGAAATTCCGCTTATCTCGAAGTTCAATGCTTGGTCCCGGCGGAACCCCGTAGGACACCATGTTAAAAGCTTCGTTTAACTCGAATTCGCTTATCTCGAATTTCCGGATATCTCGAATGAAATTTTCACTCCCGATAACGAATTTCTCACGGTTAACTCGAATTCAGGGTGAGAAGGGGGGAAAAATTTTTCTCTTGGGACTTTTTAAAAAATACTTTTGAATAGGAGGAATGACAAGAAACACGTTCGGGAGGATGTTCTTTTGTTTTTTTTTTCTGCTTCTCCCTCCTCCCACACAGACGCCTGTGGCGAGGATTAAAACCGAGAAGCTTCGGCTATAAAAAAGCAGCCTTAAAAATTCTCTCTGTCTATCGCTCTCACTCCGAGCCATTCTAGTCATATTCTACTTCCTTTACGCCATTTGTGTGGAGTGAGCCCACTCGAGAGGAAATTGAAGGCTCTGACGCTCGAAGAGAATGTACACTTTATTCGGACTGGCGAAGAAGGCCATTTGAAGAAGAAAGGCATCGCAGAGAATTTCGGGATTCCTCCCTCTACCATTATGCGCAGAAAATATAAGGTTTTGAGTGCACATGAGAAGCGCCTATTTACAGCAAGTTGCAGGAAAATGAAGACAGCCAAGCATGGGAACGTGGAGTTCACACAGTGCCAATCGACTTGTTCGAGGCAGTAGGGAAATTGGAGGACTTTCACTTCTCTATTCCAAGTTCTTTTACAAAGCAAATGAAGATCATTGATTACATGTCAGAAATGGATAAAAACCGAAAGAGCCCCAGATGAAAGGCGTTGCAATAAATTAATTTTACATATGGAGTTTAAAAGTTTCACTCGAGATGAATAAAAGCTAATTATAATGGGAATGTCGTGAAATCGGATTTTTTATGGCGGAATAATCGCCCTCTGGTTATGCTCCTCACCGTGAGTTTGTTTTTTTTTTTTTTTTGGGGGGGGGGCGATTCCTGATAACTCGAACTTCGGATAACTCGAAACGATTTGCCCGGTCCCTAAAAGTTCGAGTTAACGAGTTTTCACTGTAGTTTAATTTCATTCATGATGCAGGGAGTTTCTTCAAAGATGAAGACGAAGAGGAAGTGTTGGATGACAAATACTTGAATGACCTGAAAGAAGGGAGAGGCCACGAAGACACTTGCAGTCGTATGAGCGAACTCTCCCGCCGAAACACTCTGTATCTTCCACACATGAAGAGCTCCTACCCCTGTGAGACTCAGTTCATCGAACCAACGCACTTCACAGAACATGAACTCAAGGTTTGCCCGAATGCTCCTTTGTCTTATCTTGTGTCAGTGTTTGTCATTTCGTCTAAAAATTTGGTTTCCAGGCTGGGGTTAACTTTGAAGAGACCTCAATCGGAAAATTGGTGAAGAGTGCAGAAGATCTCCAGCTTGATTCTCCGGCCGAAAACACTCGCAGCAAGACAAGACACACGTTGCTAGCAGTAACTCCACTCAAGGGTGGTCGATATCTACTACACACGAGCCAAGAATCACCTCTCACGGACAGTCCAGCCTTTAGCACCCGGAAGAGGAAGTCTCCTGACAGTGTCCGAAGCTTTGGCAGCCTGAATGACAGCACTAGCAGCCGGAAGAAAGTTTCCAAACTCGTCTCACAGCAGGTGGGATCTCTATAGCTCTGGAATTATCACTAGCTGTTACCCGCGAAAGATTCACGTCTTCTTAATTAAGGCCAGTCGACTTCCTCACAGCTTCAAATGGGCCAAATTGTACGAATTTGGAACTCCAAGGTATTAGATGGAGAATAGGGGATGCTTCCCGTCACCAGACACTCCTAATTTCCCGTCATAACGATTTTCAGTGAGGATTGTCTTGCAGCATTGTAAGGAGAAACAGCGTTCGAATTGGAACTACCACTCTTTGGATCAATAACGGGGGATGCATTTCGTCATCAGGGAACTCCCATTTACCAGTATGCAAATATTCAGCGAGTTCCGCTCCGTAGCATTCAGGCGAGATGAAGAATAGGGATGATTTCCATCATCAAAGATCTGCAGTTTACCCATGAGCAAGTATTCTGCGAGGTCCGTCTAATAGCATTTCAATGAGGCTCACCGTTCGGATTTGGAACACCCAAGGGTATAGAATGGAAAGTCGAGGATGCCTCTCGGCGTCAGAGACTTGGAGTACTATAGCTTTGAGTTCTGTGATACGGATCGGCTCGGTTGGCAACCGGGTTTCCGGTCGAGTGCGGGCGAATATTTCATCAGACACTTTGAGTTCTGCACCTAAGAGCGGATTGCAGACCGGTCTTATCGTCCCGAAACGAATCGTGGGTAGGGTCAGCGATGGGGTTTCGGGTGGGGCCCGCTTAGATTCGAATCGAGTCGATCTGATCAGATTTGGAAAAGTAGACCGTGAAGATCTGCAGCGCGCGCACAGACACGCAAACGTCATTATTTAGTTATGCAGATGTAGAGAGTAAATAAATGTTAAGTTGGATTTGAAACCAGCTCTGTGTTCATATGATTGCAGACAACGTACCAGAGACCGGGACCTCCAACACCTGGCAAATACTCGAGTTCCCAGAAGCCCATGGAATCTGACACTCCATCTTCAGTTTCTTCAACTGGGAGCAGGTCCCGCTTCATGCCCAAGACTCCAGCTAGTATTCATCGTCTTCTAGGACATCATAGATCCAAGAATGGGAACCCCAAGACCCCGAAACGAAAGAAGCAAATCGAGGCAGAGAACACTCCTCCCACAGATGTCACTCAGCAGGTTTGTTTCTTTTTCCTTTCAGGGAAAGGTTTTCTCTACTCAACAGGATAGAGTTGAGCCAATTTTTTTCTTGTGCCATCATTGTTCATCTTGTACAGGTGGAGCGAAAAAACACTGCTTTTACTATAGGATTTTCCCCAAAACAATCGAAACCTTCAAGGAAACCTCCTCAGTCACCACCTCACATTTCTACCAAGCAGAAGGTACCCAAAGTAAGTATTAGCCATAACAGAGGTAGTATCTGTATTTTTACAACTCTCCAATGTACACATATTTTCTTCCCTTTTAGACATCTACACAAACAACCACCCGCAGAGGATTTCGTGCACCCTTTTCCAATCGAAGCAACATGGTGAAGAAATGAAGGATATTTTTACAGGTTGAATCCATAACCTTTGTCCCATAGTCTTTTATCTTCTTTCACCTCTTAAGATTCATATTGTTGCATACCTTACCCAATACAGTCTGTATATATACATTCCTCTATAGGCCTAATTGACTTGCTGACTGTGATTAATGTTTTGTATCTGTAGTCAGGAAGAAATTACTTCCTTATTCAAGCCGCCATGTTTGATGTTCAGCTGTGACATTTGAAGAGCTTCCATGTTTTAACAGTTGCAGTAACAGTTCATAGCTCTTGAAGCTAAGTCCTTGTCTGCTTTTGAGTTTTGTGATGTATCTGCTGAATAAATGAAGCTCTGACTTCAGTGTTGTGGTGCATGCTTTCTGTCTCATTTACGGGCTGGAGAATCAGCCTTTCAGAAATGGAAGGAGAAAGAAAAGAGAAATTTGGCTTTGTTTCCTATAAGAGAGCCAACAATGTTTCCTATAAAATCTGTAATCGTGGGCGTGTTTTCCCCCTCGATCAGGATTTCAATGGGAAAATTCTCACTCCAAAGCTGCTGTCTTTCCCAGGCTTATTTTCCATTCTATCACGTTTCCGTTGATAGCAAAGTTCCAGCCCAAGTGTCTTTGACCTATGACCTATTCACTGAAGAATGTGGTTGCCTCGTCTATAACAATTATGGTGGCAATAAAGACAACTGCATCGAGCGATAAGGACAAAGAAGAAAAACGCCAGAATTTATGGCTAGTGCCGAGATTAACGCGACGAATCATCGCGGGCGATAAGGGAATTGCAGGGTTCCCATTTTCTCTTTTTCTTCATTCCTTCACCTCTCTCAACCTCAATTGGTGTCTCTTCTCATGCTGTGGTGTTGATGGCAACCAATACCGTACGATAGGTGTCCAAGCGCAAGAGACTCAAGGGCCATGAATGCACGCTCGTATTGGAACTCCAAGTGACCCGCCTCCTCACCTAACGTTCATTTGGCTGTAACTTGATCTGAGTGACCTCTAACCTTCCACAGGTTCCTTGGAAGACTGAATTTGGCCCTCGTGGTTACTCCGGGGTTTTGCCACCTAGATTCGGCCTTTTCCACCGTGGCTCTTTAAACATCCGAAACTCATAGACTTGAGTGTCAAGTGCTCAGAAGTTTCCGTTTCCATATATGCCGGGGCTGGCACTCGGAAAAAAATCCTGACTTGGTTGATTGAACACTGATCGTCGAGCATGGGGGGCATGCTCAGTGCCAACCGGGCCAAGCATCAACCCGTCCAAGATCCGCCTCAATCCGAGTGAGTCACTCCAGTCTTCTCACTGGAGGCTAACAAAAGGGGATTCCATTCCCAGAGCAATCGTTTGCAGGGCTGTCAACTGTCGTCATCGTATGATGAGTGATATTACTAGCGCTAATCTTGGTATAGGAACGGTTGTTTCTTCGATCTTGCGTTCTACAGAGACCGTGGCGATGAATGAGAGCAAGCTAGAAATAATATACTAAAAATCCAGAACCCTTTGGTAGAAAGCAGAGCCAGAATCGTGTGGAATCGGGTCTTCAAAAACACGGAAACAAGACCAGGGCTAGAGAATTGCCTGCGAAGACAAAGGCACTGAATACAATAGGGGACCACGCCCTCCTTGAGAGCTGATTCCGTATTCCCACCTCAGTTTTTCCTCATGCAATCAACTTATCGAGATACGCTTATCTCCATGCCATTGACGTGAAGTCCCCTTTGAGGGACGCTTCTATCGTGTTCATAGTATGACTACTGGTCTTCACTGAAATACTCTGCCTCTTACTCTTTCAGTGAAAGCACGCCATTATCTTAATAGGGTAACTGGGTATTCGCGGCACATGCAAGGCTACTTCGAGGATTTAAAAAATCACTGCTTAGGAGCGGAGTGCCATACCTCTATTCTGTGGCCACACTGAAGTTAGGTATTCACTGAATTGATGGGAAGGGATTCCAGAATGCTGATCGTGTGATTTCACCGATTTGCGACACATGGATAAGGTTCGGATAAGGTTGATTTTAGGTTGGCTAAGCCAACCTAAAACGAAATAACTCATACTTTTTAACGGTAGGCAATTGCGCCATGACGTGTCTGGGTCTGCGGCAGGGTGAAATCAGAGCGCGTCAGACCCATATGAATACGTGGAGATCCAACAAGGGGATCGCTGCTATTGGAGTATCATAATTGCGGCACCCAACTCATAAAAAATAACTATTTATTCCGAGAATACAAAAAGGCGCCAAGAAAAAGAAAAAAGTATCACAGCTTCTTTCTTAGAATTTCTTGCTTACTAATGAAAATGTCAAACAAATTTTTTTACTCTGCTTCTCTACGAGCTTTGCTTTCTCCATGTGCAATCCGACATAAAGCTTCTCTTAGATCTTCCTCAGCATATATTTTCATTATCCTTTTTCTTATTTTTCACCCCAGAACACGAGCCACGAAGAATTGAACAGATAGGGAGGATGCACAACATAGCTCTACTGTCCATTTTCTACTTTTCATGTCACTGCAACCTTCGAAGAAATAAAGTTTTATGTTCTAATAATTTCAAGAAATACTTATTGAGCAAGGTAAACTTAAGTCTTAACCCCTCAACCCCTAAGTTCCCCTCAATCGGGGAAATTTCCAGCTCCTTGAAATATTCCGAACTCCAAAACTGAGACATCGAACACTCGGATACGGAGACGTTCCAAGGCATTCAGAGGAATTGTATGTTAACGTGTGGTTTAGCTTGAGAACTGAGCCTCTTTTAGGACTTTTGGCTCATTTAGATCCATGGTGTCTAATACGTTTGCCACTCGCCACATATGGTGAATCGGCCACAGATATGTGGCGAATTGATGATGACCTCAAACCTACTTTCAAAATATTGCGCATCCTTATTTAAATATTAATATTGGATGTATTTTGTATGATGTGGCGAATATGGTGACCTGATCGTCACAAGTTTGGCGAGCATCGAAATCCTATTGGACACCAATGATCTAGTTGAACATTCTTTCTTACGATGTGGCGCGATATCATACGAAAATGCGCCAATTTCGGCACAAGAGGCAAGGAGCGGCCGCAGATGCATTCGGTCGAGAAAACTGTATGCGATCGCGGCATTCCTGAATCGGTGCTCTGAGTGACAGGTACTAACCATTCCTGTTGTTCTTCATCTTAGTTCGATATCCTATAACTATTCAAGCATCAATACCTTTTCGCAAACGTGAGAAAAAGAAGAGCCCTACAGGCACGCGGATCCGCATGCAACAGTTTGCGGTTCCAATCAAGCACCGTCTCGCACGAAAGAATTGTCATGTTGACGCATGCGTTTTTGCCAGATATTGATTGATTTTTATCATCGTTGTTCACGTGTCTTGCCCGCTGCCCTGACTCCTGAGAGCGCGTATACGAGTTAGTGTCGCGAATACCCACAGTTACCTTATATGACAATGGAATCGGAGATGTTAAAACCTCTAAAAGTAGGGTTGGGCTTGATAAGAAAAAATCTTGGCATGAAAAAAGCAAGATCCTGTCAAGATGACGACGATATAGAACCCTGCACAGGTTGATCTTCGGTACCCGTCCCGATAGGCCCGATTCAAGTCATGGCCCGCACCCGACCCGAAATTCGAATTCCAACCCAACTTCACGGCCCGACCCAACACAACACGCGCAAAAATTAAACGACACGGAGTTTCCATGGTCTCAGACCGGAAGAACGATAAAGTTTATATGTTAAAATTCGGCCCGACCCGACCCGAAGAAGGATCCTGAAAAATTCAGACCTAGTCGACCGCGGGTCAGGTCGGGCCACAGCCCTTGCAGGGCTCTACAACGATGTCACAACCAGGTAAAATGAGAGGAGAAAAAACCTTTAAAAAAATAAAAAGTTTATCGACACTTGGCTGGGCGTTAAGGATAGATCTTATCGAGACTTGGCAAGAAACGAAATTTAAGATGTTGCCAAGCGTCTTGCGAGCTGAAATAACCAAACTCAAGCCTAATGTCTCCAGTGATTCAATACTTCACCGAAGGCTCTTCTAGGCCAACTAGTATTAGTTTGCCCCTTGGGACCCAATTGAGAAACACCAGCACAGCAAGGCAAATCCATTGGTTCTCGCAAATCGATCCAATAGTTCCTCCTACAGAGCTGCCTATCGACTTCGCGATGGAAAGTACTTTTCAGCGCTTCCAATACTAACTCGGGACTTGAGCCCACTAAAAACAACTTCACGAAGAAGAATATCGGTACCTCGCTTCCCAAGTAGCAATTTTTAACCCAAATAAATCAATTGGACACCGACTCAAAGACACTTGGAAATTTCTCTAAAGGATCCTATCCTATTGGGTGTCCATTGGATGGTTTATTGGATATCCATTTTTTTTTTCAGATCATTTTTTTTCCCTATGGGAAAGCCATTTGATGACCATGAAGGGGTCCAACTATATTATTCCCTCAGGAAGCAATTAGCATAATTTGCATTCACGTGAATATTCATAGCACTCTGCAGGTCCTTGCTTCCTTCTTCTTTAAAAATTCTTTATTCTAAATTCTTTAAAGTCCCTAGAGGGGTCTGAAAGAGAAGAGTTAGAACGGAAGATGAGGGAACTCCAAATTCAGAATTCCCTCAATTTCCGCTCTAGCGTCTCGGCCAACAACTCGGTCTCTCCTTCGTTACGTGTGACGCGAGATTGACCTGGCAAGGGGAACCCTACTCTCTCCTTGCATTGTGCAAGAGTTGCCTGGAGTCTCCTTAAGCTGGGTTACGTATCTCTGCAGATGTATTGATTAAAACGAATTTCTTCCCTCTGCTTGTAGTGGGAAAATGTGGAGTACAGGATGAAAGCTTCTGCAGAACCATCCAGTAGAATATGGGGAATCGAGACATTACAGCGGCGAGTTCAGCACGACCCGCTTATATTGTGGAAACTTTAATTTTATGGAACGAACTGGTAGATTTCAGGCCAGAGGGAAGGTCGATGTCCATGTCCATCCAAGGACATCCAATGGTCAT